TTGTATATTTTTTGTATAGTAACAGTCTATTTTGTATAGCGACAGTCTATTTTGTATATATTTTGTATAGTGAGAGCTAATTGTATATAAATTGTATAGTGGCAGTCTATTTAGTATATTTTTATATAGTGATAGTCTATTTTGTACATATTTTGTATAATGACAGTCTATTTAGTATATTTTTTGTATAATGACATTCTATTTTTGTATAGTGACACTCTATTTGTATATAAATTGTATAGTGACAGTCTGTTTTGTATATTTTTTGTATAGGGACAGTCTATTTAATATATATTTTGTATAGTGACAGTCTAATTTGTATATTTTTTGTATAGTGACAGTCTATTATATATAAATTATACAACGACGGTCTATTTTATATATTTTTGTATAGTGACAAATAACAATAAGGATATATTACTTTGAAGATGACCACTGCTTTCATTTAGCCAATTAAGAGTCAACAATAACAAAAATTATTTTGTTATTTTGAAAATTGTATGGCAAAATTAGAATTATGTGTATATCATGCTGCTTTTAATAACAATAAAGATTGTAATATTATTACCAGCAACCCCAAAAAAACAAAAACAAAAATTAAAAGAATATATCCAGTTTCAGTTACACATTTTGATCAATGCCCATCTAGAAAAGTAGAAGTAAAAATTAAATCTTGATTGGCAGATAAGGAAGAAATGAAAATGAATATAAGAAATGATGAATGTAAGAATTAAAATAAAAAGACATCTCAGATCTGCCGATTATTGGGTTTTTTTAAAAAAAAAATTGTTAGTTCCTTTTTTCTGGGGAAGAAAAATGTGAGAGAGTGAATGAAAGATGAAGGTTATCCACCATAACCATGGGATAAAATTATCTTTTTTTTTCTCGTTTATTGCTTTTCTTAGATACGGTCTAGCTGAACCTTCAAATTGAAAATATCTTTGGATTCTGTTTCACCTGATCAGAGATTTGATTTGTGCGTTTCAGTTTCACATCCATAAAGACAAAGATTTCTGAAAATTTTGCTTTGGTTCGTCGAATCATAGCCACCGAATTTAGTGGCTACGGAGTTAAAACGTTTGAAATTTGAAGGGAAAGAGTGGCAGTGATTTTGGGCTAGCCCTTGTAATTGATTTTGGGCTATTAATTATATGATTTATTTTGTGGCTACCGATTGTCATTAATTTTTTCCGGAGGGCTACAAATAAAATTTGCTCATTAAATTATGATAATATCGAAAACGTTTATGCAAATCTCTACATACCCCACAACTAGTGAGCATGGGGCTTATCCCCGGCCCTTCCATCTTAATGGCTTTCCTATCGCAAAGGGATGTTAGTATTATTAGGCTTTTCACTTAAGGTTTTTGGTTCTTAAACACTAACGACAAATTCCCCTCCGTTGTATGAGTCTAGAAGAAGGTGACTTGATTCCTTTTCAATAGAAAAAAAAATATTCAAACCAACTCGCTGGCCAATCCATAAGATCTTATCGACTGGTAAATAAGAGAACGGTCAACAACGGTACCGACCGCAAAGAATAGCAAAAGAAGAATATTATTCAGAGACCTTCTGCTAGCCTAAGATCGTTAACCAAGATTGGAGGATTTAACTAAAGAAGAGGAAGCTTGAAAAGAGAAAATAAATTTTACATAGGAGAACTTGTTTTTGAAAGAAGGCTTTCTTGATTTTTGCTTGATTACAAATGGACAAGACACCCCCTATTTATACTAGCCTATGGATGATTCTAGATAATATACAAAGAAGATTCTAGCAACCTTATCTTCTAATAACACTCTAGAATATCTAGATATGTCTTATCTTCCCACAACATTCTAGAACATCTAGATATGTCTACTAGATAAATATCAAGGATACTACACTAGGACATTCTAGATAATTCTATATTTTTCGAAAAATCAACTTTTTTTTCACACTCCCCCTTAAAGTGATTTTTTTTGGAAACTACTCCAAGTTTGTCACAGAAGAACTCGAACGAAGCTTTAGCAAGTGACTTGGTGAAGATATCAGCGATATTTTCATGACTTCGCACTTCCAAAGTATTGATAGTTCCATCAAGAAGCTTTTCCCGAATAAAGTGATGTTCCACCTCAATGTGTTTAGTTCTTGCATGGAATATTGGATTGTTTGCAAGCTTGATGGCACTTTGATTATCTCCATAGATCATAGTTGGCTTTGATATAGGTAGATGCAAGTCTTCAGCAAGTCTTTGTAGCCATACACATTCTTGAGCAGTGAGAGCAGCTGCTTTATACTCCGCCTCCGTGGTTGACAAGGAAACTGAGTCTTGCTTTTTGCTACACCAAGAAACACTTGTTCCACCACAGAGGAAAATATAGCCCGATGTTGATCTTCGGTCATCCAAATCACCACCAAAACCACATCTGTATAACCAGCTAACACCAAATCATTCTTCTTCTTGAAGAACAAGCCCATTGGTGATGTTGAGTTGATATACTTTATAATCCTCTTTGCAGCTTCTAAGTGAGGCTTTCTTGGCCTTTGCATAAATCTGCTGACATGTCCCACCGAGAACGCAATGTCCGGCCTTGTAATAGTCAAATACAGGAGACTTCCAACAAGAGCTCGAAAAGGCTTGGGATCTGCAAGAAGTGAGCCTTCGTCCCGCCTTAACCTTGTATTTATCTCAAGAGGAGTAGAACATATTTTGCTTTGCTTCAATCCAAACCTGTCAACAAGTTTCTTGGCATATCCTTCCTGAGTGACAAAGATCCCTTTGTTCATGTTTGTCACCTCTAAGCCAAGAAAATGGTGTAGCTCTCCCAACTTCTTAACGTCAAATCTTATGGAAAGCTCATCTTGAAGCCTAGAAACTCCATCTTCATTGTTTCCTATTATTATCATATCATCCACGTACAAAAGAACAACCACATGCAAGTCTCCTTGTTTTTTAACAAATAAGCTAGGATCTGAGTGTGATGCATCATAGCCATAGAAATGTAGATACTGAGCAATTTTACCATACCATGCTCGTGGAGCTTGCTTGAGGCCATAAAGGGCCTTCTTAAGTTTGCAAACATAATCAGGATGTAAGTGAGAGACATACCCGGGTGGTTGCTCCATATAAATATCTTTGTCAAGCTCTCCATATAAGAAAACATTCTTCACGTCAAGTTGCCATAACTTCCAATTATGCGAGGCTGCCAAGGCTAGCACAACTCGGATAGAGATCATCTTAGCCACCGGACTGTGGTTTCTTCATAATCTTCACCGTACTTTTGAGAAAATCCCTAAGCAACAAGCCTTGCTTTATATCTATCTATGCTGCCATCTGCTCTTCTTTTAATTTTGTAAACCCATTTACAAGAAATGGGTTGTACATCCTTCGGCTTTGGTACAAGGCTCCAAGTTTGATTTTTCATCAGAGCCTCCATTTCATCATCCATAGCAAGCTCCCACTCTTTGACTCCTTTAGCTTCTTTAAATGAGGAAGGTTCTTCATCATCAATTGGTCCTGCAAAGAAATAGGAATACGTACTGACAAAATTTTCATCTCTAAAGCGAGCTGGCTTGATAATAGTTCTTTTTGGCCTTTCTGAATCACTTGAATCATCTTCTTGCTGAGTTTCTTGTTGTTGAGGTCCAGGACTCCCCCTTTCTCTTAACTCCTCGGCATCTGTATTATCTAGAGAAGCATCTGCAATGGGCAAGCTTGAATCTCCATTATTTAAGGTTTTGGAACTCGCTCCATCCAATGCAGCTCCATAATACAAAGACACTTTCTCGAATATGACATCCCTTGAGATAACAAATAGATGAGTTTTAGGATCCATACACTTCCATCCCTTTTTTCTTTCATCATATCCGACAAATATGCATTTCCTTGCCTTGGCATCCAACTTGCTCCATTGAGAATCCGGAATGTGAACATAACAAATAGAGCTAGAAACCCTGAGGTGTTTCACGCTAGGATTTTCTCCAAACATTAATTCATAGGGAGACTTCATATTATTTGGAGAAAGTGGCATCCTTTTAATCACATACGCTGCACATTTCATACCTTCAGCCCACAAGACTCTAGGTAAATTCTTGGCATGAAGCCAACTCTTACATGTCTCAGTTAAGTGTTGATCTTCCTTTCAGCCACTCCATTTTGTTGTGGCGTATCAGTGCATGTCAGCTCTTTTTTAATGCCATGTTGACGACAAAAAGAAAGAAACTCATCTGACGTGAACTCACCACCATTATCAGTTCGCAACCGCCTTATTGTGGAATCGAGTTCACCTTCAACTGTTTCTTTGAACTCCACAAACTTACTGAAAACTTCTGACTTGTGCTTCACAAAATAAACCCAAGTGAATCTAGTAAAATCATCGATGAAAATTAGCATATAAGAATAGCCTGAGAATGAAGGAGTTCTCGTTGTCCCCATCAAGTCACAGTGAATAAGTTCTAGTGGGGCATTGCACCTTGACAAGGATCTGTCAAATGGAAGACAATGTGCCTTTCCTTATTGACATCCTTCACAAACCTCTCCTCCACCAAAAATTTTTAGGTTAGGCAATCCTTTCACTAGATTCAATTTTACCATGGCTTTCAATTTATCCATGCTAAGATGTCCAAGTCTAGCATGCCAAAGATGTGTGTTATCATTGCTACTCATCTTCTCAATATATGAGTTAGAGGCAGATAAGACATAAAAATCATTAACTCTCTTACCTGAGTGAACGATATCTCGCTTGAGCACCTTGATATTTCGGAGGAACTTCACATCACATGGGTCAAATAGCAAATAGTTTCCAGCATCTACAACATTTGCAACTGAAAATAGATTTTTCTTCATACCTAGAACGTGAAAGACACTGTTGAGGGTGATAGTGTCTTTTTGCTTCTCGTTGATCACAACAGTGCCTTCCTTCTCCACATTATGGACTGTATTTTCTACTGTAGCAATGACATCATGTCCGTTGTATAGGTGGAGAATTTGGATTGATCTCCAGTGAGATGGTGCCAACATCCTTAATCCACGATCCAGTCTCTTTCAAAATTTGTGGAAGCCATGGCATCTATTGCTCGAGTCTCCGCTGCAAAGCACTTTCCCCAGTCTTCTTCTTTTTCTTTTTCTTCAGCAGCTTTCTTGGTTTGAGCCATATTGCTCTCTTTGGCTCGACAATATCTTTTTATATGCCTGACTTTGCCACAACAGTAACATTTTAAAAACTTTTTACCGTTATTGGAAGACTCCCCTTCTTTCCTGGCGAGCTTGAACCACTTGAGAATTGAAAGTGAATGCTATCTATTGATTTCCCTTTATAGCTTATCTTATCGGCTAGAAGCATTTCCTTCCCCTTCTTTGATAGATACACCAGCCAGCTGTTTGGCTAGTAGCTCTTGTGACGACAGCAAATTCTCAAATTCATCCAAAGATGGTTGTTGAACCCATCCTTGAATCGATGTAACAAATGGAATATATTATGGCTTTAAACCATGAATAATGATTCTTCTTATTCGTGCTTCAGAGATAGCCTCGTCCGGATTCAATAGAGAAATTTCGGAACACAGATTTTTAACCTGCAAGAAATACTTGTCGATAGAGAGATTATCTTGAGTGGTGTTAGCTAACTCATTCTCCAAAATCTGTAGCCGAGCTTCATCCTTCTTGTTGAACAGTCGATCGAAGGTCCTCCATATTTCATGAGCTGATTTACACCTTATAATATGATCAAATAAATTAGGAGAGATAGACCTATTTAGGATAAACTCCGCGTTAGCATTAATCTGCTTCCACTTCTTATGCGCATTGCTATTTTTCGGTGCATCAGCAGGAGGACTTGTGTTACTCCCATTGACAACTTCCCACAAATCTTCACCAACAAGGTATGACTCCATACAAGTCTTCCATACCTTGTAGTTAGACTGGTTCAATAACTCCATCCCTAGTCTATTAGCACGACCACCCAGATCCATTTAGAGAAACTAGTTGAATCAACCAATAACCCTTATTAGCACGACCACCCAGATCCATTTAGAGAAACCAGTAGAATCAACCAATAACCCAACCTTGCAAATATATCTAGAATCCAATTATGGCTCTGATACCATGTAAAGAATAGCAGAAGAAGAATATTATCCGGAGACCTTCTGCTAGACCAAGATCGTTAACTAAGATTGGAGCATTCAACTAAAGAAGAGGAAGCTTGAAAAGAGAACATAGATTTTAGATAGGAGAACTTGTTTTGGAAAGAAGGCTTTCTTGATTTTGGCTTGATTACAAATGGACAAGACACCCCCTATTTATACTAGCCTATGGATGATTCTAGATATGATTCTAGATAATGTACAAAGAATTCTAGCAATCTTATCTTCTAACAACACTCTAGAATATCTAGATATGTCTTATCTTTCCACAACATTCTAAAACATCTAGATATGTCTACTAGACAAATATCAAGGATCTACACTAGTACATTCTAGAGAATTCTATATTTTTCCAAAAAATCAACTTTTTTTTTCCACATACCATGAGGCATGAGGGGGGGAAAATAAAACAATGGTGGGTCACGACATTTGGGAAATATTTTTGCAATAAAACTATGGAATATAATAGGTAATAATGAAGGAAAAGTGGTGATAGCTAGGGATCCAATTGGTTTTCTTATGTTGTCAAGAATTGAGGTTTCAGAAAAACATGGATGAATGGGCATAAACCCATAGACCATAACCAATGTCCAAAGTTGCAGATACAAAGCCGAAGGGATAAGGATTCTCATGCCTTTTGACTTATTTCACGTGGTGGGTCACTCAATCAGTTTCCATATAAACTAAGGTTTCATTTGTATGTTTAAGGAAGTGGTTGGATAATCTATTTCTTGAAATTTTCTGTAGTAAATTAAGAACGTATACTCTTTTTATACATTTGTAAGAAAGGAAAAGAAAACTAAAAAAAATTGTTTTAGATTCCCTAAACTTTTCACAACGCTTGATTGGAGGCGTTTCTTGCACAAAATGTCCATAAAGAAAAATTTAAAAAACGAAAAAAAAAAACTATTTTTCCTATTTCCAGGCAATCAAACCGTATTAAAATGGATATACATAAAATCAGCATGCCAACAACTAGGGGCTAATAAGAAGTTTGCATTATTATAATTCGGCGAGCGTCATCAAAATTTTAAAGATAGATGAGAATAATGATTATGTAATATAAAAATAATAGTAATGATTATTCGTTAGATCATAGGTAGGACAAAAGACAATCAGTAAGTAAACTAAAAAAATTTCGTTGTAAAAATATAGTTTAAACAGACATTATCCCTGTTGTCGAGTTTTGTATGACGTAATAGAATAAAGCTTTATTAAGATAGATTTTTTTACAGATATAATCTCACGTTGCCTTCTACTGGAGATAATTTTAATTAATTTAATACTCCTGGAGTAATTAATCTACTGGAGTAATCAATTAAAACATGCTAACTTGTTGTGAAATATTTTTTTTTAGCTGTAAAATAGAAAATGCTAATTGTGATTAAGGAAACAATATAATAATACGACTATATTGACCGTAAATGAGTGTTATGAATAGTTACAATTTTAGGAGAAAAATAAAGTGGAGAATAGTGAATAGAGGAAGCATGACGAAAGTTATAAAGAAAGTAAAAACTCTAGTATTCTGAGTTGCTATCATACCTGCAAGCTAAGCTAATGCTATCCTTTTTAATAAATAAAAAAGAGATATGTAGGCGAAAAAGGGTTCAAAATGCCCCTAAATTATTGGAAAAGATTTAAAAATACCCTTCATCCATCTATTGGGCTAAAAATACCCCTCCCTCCAGCTTTTTGGTTCACTTATGCCCTTTGACCGTTAGGTCAATGCTGAACTAAAAATAATCATTATTCTTTTTGTAAAACTTAAAATAAAAGTTTTTGCAAAATATTTTTGTTTTTTTAAACTAATGCACCAGTAGTCCACTAATTTAGTACAGTCTTCTTCTTCTTTCTTTTTTTTTCTTCAATTTTACAAAAAACAATTCAGTTTTTACAAAAGAATTTTTTTTTTCATTTTTTCAGTTTTTTTAAAGTATTTTTTTGTAAAAACTGAAAAAAATTGTAAAAACAGAAAAAAAATTGTTTTTAATAAAATATTTTCGTGTTTTAAAAACTTAAAAAAATATTTTCAACAAAATATTTCGTTGTTGAAAAATATTTTTTTTCAGTTTTTTCAAAAACGAAAATATTTTGTTGAAAATATTTTTCTCAGTTTTTAAAAAACGAAAATATTTTATTAAAAACAATTTTTTTCTGTTTTTGTACAATCTTTTTTCTAGTTTTTACAAAAAAGAAATGCTTTAAAAAAATAGAAAAAAATGAAAAAAATAATATTTTTTTGTAAGAACTGAATTATTTTTTGTAAAAACTGAAAAAAAAGAAGAAGAAGACTTTACTAAATTAGTGGACTACTGGTGCATTAGTTTAAAAAACGAAAATATTTTGCAAAATATATTTTTTAAGTAATTATTTTTAATTCAGCATTGACCTAACGGTCAAAGGGCATAAGTGAACCAAAAAGGTGGATGGAGGTAGGGCCGCTTATCGGGCGGATTGTGCGGTTATCTACTCTTAACGGTTTGGCTTATCGGTTATCGGCTTTTAAATGTATTAATCCGCTAGCCACTCGATAAGATATCGGGCGGATTGGTATCTGTTTAGCTCTTATCGGGCGATTTATCGGCCTAATTCAATCTATATAACGTGCATTATTGTTTGCTGACCGCTGACTCAAAATAAAATTCCTACGCTCAGTAGACTACATTTCAGNAAAAAAATATTTTTTTTTGTAAAATCTGAATTGTTTTTTGTAAAACTGAAAAAAAGAAGAAGAAGACTTTACTAAATTAGTGGACTACTGGTGCATTAGTTTAAAAAAATAAAAATATTTTGGAAAATATTTTTTTTTAAGTTTTACAAAAAGAATAATAATTATTCAGCATTAACCTAACGGTCAAAGGGCATAAGTGAACCAAAAAGGTAGATGAAGGTATATTTTTAGCCCAATAGGTGGATGAAAGGTATTTTTAAGCCTTTTTCAATAGTTTAGGAGCATTTTAAACCCTTTTCCGAATATTTAAGTAAGTAATTTCATAAAACTAAATTCTCTCTCTTTTCAGAATGATGGAATTGTTAGTCGTTAAAAAGGAAAATAAATCAACTCCTTTCCCTTTCTTAACAACTAAGCATGTCTGTCTTTTTTTGGGATGGGAAGAGGTTGCCGAAAGGATGCGGATTGAACATGTTAAATAAATCGAAGCTCTCTCTCTACTAGTGACCTCTCACTCGCAAATTATTAACAGTAAAGTAATACTCCCTTTGTTTACCACTATTTTCTTGTTACTCATTTAATAAATAATGTATTTTTATAGTCAAATATAATATAACTTCGAATCTTTTATTTTATTTTTATTGAATTTTTTTATAACTACACAAATATTATTTTGAAACCACAAATTTTCAGTTTTTTGACTCATTCGTAAAACTTTGTGCTGAGTTAAATTGCATAGCATAAATTGAAATGAAGGAAGTAATACTTATTTCTTTAACAATAAGAGCGACAAATGAAGTAGCAATAGTTGAAACAATATCCTAGAGTTTTACCTATGGAATTTAAAAAACACACTCTCTCTCTCTATATATATATATGAGAACAGTGTCAGATTCAAAACGGCTCTGATAAAAAAAATTCCAACTCCCTAATATCTATTTAGAAACAGTAAACACAGATACAATCGTATTAGAGCCAGCGGAGATTGTAGGTTGTAAGTTGCATCAATAAAGGGTGATAAGTGAAGGAGTTATATTATTCCTTCTATCCTAATTCATCTAATAATATTTCTATATTTCGGATGTATTGAAGTATTTTGCATTATTTAATAAGTAAAAGTTATCTAAACAGATCATTAAAGAAGCTGAATCACATTCCAGATTTTAACTATCACCCAAAATGCTCCAGGAATCACATAACACACATCTGCTTTGCAGATGATCTGATGCTATGTAGCAGAGCAGATAGGATTTCAATACAACTATTACTAGGGAGACTCAACCATTTCTCTGAAGTCTCAGGGTTGCAAGCTAATATGGAGAAAAGTGCACTGTATATTGCAGGGGTATCTAATGAGTTCAAGGCACAGATCCTAGAAGAACTGCAATTCACTCTAGGAGACCTTCCATTCAAGTACTTAGGTGGTACGTACCACTATCTTCAAAGAAGCTGTCTATTCAACAATGACTGCCTCTGGTTGAGAAGATCACAGCAAGAATTAACTGTTGGACAGCAAAATTCTTGTCATACAGTGGGAGACTGCAGCTACTTAAGAGTGTGATATTTGAGGTGCAAACGTACTGGGCACAGGTTTTTCTACTGCCAAAGAAGATTATCAAGCTGATAACTACAGTATGTAGAACTTTCCTATGGACTGGAAGTAATGAACCCTCTAGGAAAGCATTGGTAGCTTGGGAAACTATATGCAAGCCAAAGTCTGCAGGTGGACTTAATGTGTTGGATCTTCATTGTTGGAACAAGGCTACTCTATGCAAGTTACTATGGGCTATAACTGAAAGAAAGGAGGCTTTGTGGATCCAATGGGTGCATAGCTTCTACATCAAAAACAGAAATGTTGAAAATATGACTACTCCAAAGCAGGCAAGCTGGATAGTGAAGAAGATCTTTGATGTAAGGGAGTGGTTTAGGCAGAATAACCCCATTGACACTCTGAATAACTTTTGTAAGAAAGGAAAGTTTAATATTAAGAAGCTATACAATGCAACAAGACCACAATATCAGAAGTGCAACTGGAAGAGACGAACAATGGCCTCAAAAGCAATTCCTAGGCACAAGTTTATCCTCTGGTTGGCACTACATGGGAGATTGGCCACAGTTGAGAGGCTACAAAAATGGGGAATAGTGGTAAGTAAAG